GTTTTGTTCACTTGTCAGCTGGTGATTTATTAAGAGAAGAACGTTCAAAGCCTGAATCAGAATATGGGGAATTAATAGAGGCTTACATCAAAGAAGGAAAAATTGTACCTGTTGACATTACATGTAGTTTATTAGAACGAGCAATGACTAATTCTGAAAAGGATATGTTTCTTATTGATGGTTTTCCAAGGAATAAGGATAATTTAGATGGTTGGAACAGAAGATGTGCAAACAAAGTGCAGCTGCTGTTTGTCTTACATTTTGATTGCCCCCTTGAAATATGTGTAGAGAGATGCCTGAATAGGGGAGCAGCTGGAAGTGCTAGAATTGATGATAATATAGAATCATTAAAGAAAAGAGTAAATACATTCATAAATGAAACTAAACCTGTTATCGATTACTATAAAACACAAAACTTGGTTAAAGAAATTGATGGATCACGTCCTAAAGAAGAAGTGTTTAAGGACATAAGAAAAGCCTTTGATGATATTAAAGCAATGGGAGATATATAAAGTAATCATAATAAAAATTAATGATGTGTAGTACATACAAATTTTTATCACTAGATATGCATTTTTATTTAATTAATTTAGCACATATCATCTGTTTGAACATTCCAGTATAAATTCATGTCATAATTCTTCTAGAAGCTTAGCAAATGATGAATACTTAATTATAATAGTGACTAAACTCTGTGCAAATTTAAAAAGTCGTGAGTTTTATTTGTACAGAAAATATGTTGTATTTTTTTGTTAAATATATTCATATATTAAGGAGTTATTATAAATCAAAGATGAATAGTGTTGTATAAATAAAGTTATGACAATATTTTACTCTACTTCTTTATTATAAATCATATTAAAATTGACTATGAATATACAGTTGGCTAAAAATTTCAGACAAGATGATACGATAAAGTAACATAAAAATCCCAACATGTAAATCAAAAGTGATCCTTATAAATGTTATTTAAACAAATACTTCGGTTAAATTTTCAAAATAGTAATTCTTGATTCAAAGGAACGAAATAAAAAATGTACACCAAACTCTGATGCGAAACTATATACAAGCATTAATTTGTCAAAAGCTCATCACAGTAAATCAGAACTAAATATTAAATATTTAATAATGAATCAGTGCAATATATATAATATATATTTGAACATGAGACGTTAACATTGAGGCATAAGAAGACGAAAACTGGCTAAACCCAAGAGTCTTTGCCTGCTGTACTCAACTGATTTTCGTCCAGGTGATTAACATTACCTAGACTCGGTTGACGATTTCTCTTCTTTTCCATATTCACTTGGGCATACAGAGGCTCAGGCTAGAACAGAAGCCGCGTTAGTGACGTGCTGCTGCCTTGAGCGTTGCTGGGCAGGGCCTTAGGTTGCTGCTGCAAGGCAGCTAAGTGCAGTAAACCAAAGGCCCCGAGCAGCTAAAACTCAGAGAGCTTACCTGCACGACACATCGCAGCCGGCTGCTGTCGGGGCCTCTGCTTACTGCCCCACCCCACCACAACACAGCTCAATTACATATTAAGTGCCCGAGCACTGCAGACCTACCCTCACAACGAAAACTCTTCTGTATTTGATAATTCTATGTTGCCACAAATGCGAAACTTTCTTATTGTATGTATTATACCTTCATTAATCGCAAAAATAAAAGAGGAAAGGGCTGTTTAGTTTTTAAACAGCCTTTTTTACAAATGCGTGTATTCTAATATTCAACCAAACAATGAAGTTCGTATCAGTTAAATATCAAATTGTAATTGTAATAAATAAACTTCAATCCGGTCTACTCTGCTCGGACACTAATAATCAATATAAGTAATAATTGTGACAAATCATGTCGTATGACTTTATATTCAACAGCAATAGCTTACAGATTAAAGTAGTAGTCCAATTTAAGGAAGACTAACAATTAATCAATGTTTGTATGGGTGTGTGTGTGTGTGTATATATATATAATGTATATATATATATAATATG